ACCCCCCCCCCCCCCCCCGCTGCACGCATTAGCGCTGTTCAGAATGTTAGTACCGCTCTAAAATCTGTTGCTGCCATGACAATTCGGCTCATGTTGGCGTTGGTCAACGCGGACTGCTGATAAAATTCGCGTGGGAGCCTTAAACGTGTAAGACTTCCTGGGAACCATTCAGCATGTCCCTCCCCCTCCCTTCTCCTTCAATCCTAAACCCTAAATCCTNNAACCTGAAGCCTTGAACCCTAAATCCTAAACACTTCACCCTAAATCCTAAGCCTTAAACCCTACGTAAACCCTAAATCCTAAATCTTAAACTCTAAGCCCTGAACCCTAAGCCGGTCTTGGGGGAGGCGCTCTCGCCCACTCGGAAGACTTCCTCCTCGCCGCTGTCGGCCGACTTCTCGGCCAGGAGCTTGACAAGCTGGTCCTGTGGTTTAGGGTTTAGGGATTAGGGCTTCAGTTTTTTTTCCTTCCCGCTTGGCTGTTACGCATGCAGGGCAACTGAGATCACACCTCGAAAGTGCAAGCCACTGCGAAAACCGTAGTGAATTACAGAGCCCTCCGAGCTAACCACACACACAAAAACCCATAACCCCAAATGCATGGAAGTCCCTAGGCCACCACAGTCAGCTCCAAGGACCGCGCCACACAGCCATGTGAGAGAAAAGGCTCAACAGGTTTCAGAATGCAGCCGCAGAGTTGTAGGGTATTAGGGTTGATAGGGGAAAGCAGTGGGTTAAGGAACAATAGATACCCGCTTAACCAAAAAGGAAGCTTCAGAAGCCTGTGAGAGCTGGCAAGAATTGCACTTCCGGGGGTGAATTTAATGACAAAATGAAGACGAAAGTGATAATGGCAGTGAGGCGCATCGTCATGAACTGCGCCGACATAAAAGAATGAACTCCTTCATTTGAAAAGTAGACATGGGTTCAGCACCACTCACTAGGAAGACACTGTACTCACTGGACGCTCACCACAACTGACATCTCGGGATCCCATCAGTGCACATGAGCAGAGTTGCCACAACTGACATCTCAGGGTTCAGGGGTTTGGAGTTTGGGGTGTAGGGTTCGGGGTTGAGGGCTTAGGGACTAGGAGGGAGTCAGGCCTAAGGATTTTAGGTGTGCTTAAGGGCTCTCGGGACTCAGGAAACTAATGCATATACACATTCACACATATACACACGTGCATACAAAATTGTGTATGCATACACAAACACATACCTGTATAGGTATTTGTATACAAAGGATGCAAAGCTCTATGCATGTCTATATATATATATACATACGTATATTCATAACAAGACGCACGCATATATTTGTATTCAAAACGAATCCTGGCCAGATCTTTCGGGTCCTGGCTCTCACCATTGAGACCCAGCTTGGCCATTACGGAACGGAAGAGCTTCACGGGCCTCACTTCACAAGCCCTCAATAGGATCCCCTTTAGGGTATATAGGGTTTAGGGTTTATAGGGTTTACGGTTAATAGGGCTTCAGAGTGTATAGCGGCTGAGGGTTGAGGGGTGTGAGGTAAAATCCGGTACAAGTGCAAAGTGCTGGCAACTTATATGGGGATAAACGTGGGGTTCATATGGGGGATCTGATTGTCAGATAAGTCCGCACGTGCTATGAAGTCAGGGGATTGGCCAGTCTGTTGCGTCAGTGAAATTTCAGGTGAGAAGCGGTCAGGTGGGCACCCTTACATGACAAATAATCCCCTCCCCTAATATTAAACCCCCATCCCCCCTGATACTAAATACTCCCATGATAATATATCACATAGTGGGAATATTTAATATTAGGGGGGGGGCGGGGGGGTTAATATTAGGGAGAAGGGATTAAGTCTTATACAAGCTTATATGGGAAAACTGCGAGGCATAAGGGATGTCAGGCTTCTACACGGGGTTGGGGGGGTTCAAGGGCTATGCAAGGCTTGCATGGCGAGACCGGGATAGTTCTAACGGCTATGTAAGGCTTACATGGTGAGACTGGGAGGCACTAAGGCCATGGAAGGCTTGAGATGGATTTTTGGCCAGGGGCGTGCGCCCTTGCCGCTCGCGTGGAACCAGCCAACCATAGCGCGGTGGCCTCAATGGCTGGAGTTTAGAGTTTAGGGTGGACGTGGCGATGTGGCCCAGGGTTCTTGTTTATGGTCCATCAATATTCCCCAGGAACCCGATGCAGTCTGAAGCTTGCTAGCTGTCACTGCCATCGTAGTAACATCCTGGAAGCCTGATCCCTAGACCCTAAGCCCTTGTAGTCCCCCTCAAGTAGATATAATATGGGGTATATGGGGATCTTATTATACTGTACCCAAAGCCATATTCTATCTACTTAAGGGGGACTATACTCCCTTCTCAGCCCATGATCCTGCCGGATACGGAAACAGGCCTCAGGCGATCCCTACTGGGATCTGGCCAGGCAGGTTCTGCAAGACATGTTAAGGAACTCTGATTTACCATATTATGGGTTCAGGGTTTAGGGGTATATAGTGAATAAAAAGGTCTCCGTATTATGGCACTTTAAAAACAATCCTTAACAGCCACCCAGACAAGCGTGCATGCATAGCACTTCCCAACTCCAACCTTTCATGCCCTAAACCCTAAACCCCATAAACCCCAACCTCCAAATTCACGGGCATGTAGTGGAAACCAGAACCTAGAAACTTGGAGAAGTTATGTCCCACCAGACCGAGAATCAATGGAAAAAACAGAAAGCAATCCCATTCCCATGGTCCAAGGTTGTTGCCGGATGTCAAGTTCATGTGCGCATTACTATAACCATGACCAAAACTACTACAATTTACAATGTTCAACAGGACAATCAACAGCAGGAACCCCTAATATCATATGAGCCACTGTCTGAACTCCTAATATCCCCCTTAATAAACCCTCTAGTAGTTCCCATGTAATCCCCTATATAACCCCCCTTAAGGAGTTTAACCCTAAACTCTAAACCCTAAACCGTGTAGTATTCTAACCCCTCATATTGGAAGCCCAGCGACTCGAAGGAGTCTTCTCCCGGAGCTTGTGCGATCCACTTATCCTCTTGACTGGCCTAAGATGAAGTAAGTTAGGGTTTAGGGTTTAGGGTTTGGGATGTAGTGACTAAGTTGTGGGTCCCCGTTAAGCGGACTGTCTAGGGAATGTATGGTGTGTACTGTGTTTTGGGTGCCTGAAGCACCTGCAGATTGGGAGTGCAGAATGGGCATGATGGCCACCCAGTTTACAATCCCAACTCCCCACGCATCACGGGAAGAAATCTACAAACCTAAACCCTAAACCATAAACCCCTAAACCCTAAACCCTAAACCCCCCCCCCCTTAGCAGACCAAGTCACGTCAGAAGTGAGCCGCCAATGTGACGAAGCCTTGTCGAAAGATATCTCGTAGCGACCCCCTTGCTGCTTGTACATGGCTTTGCCGTGGCGGGCCCCACTCCTTGTGTAGCTACCTCAGCAGGATCAGCAGCCACAAGGGCTATACTCGGTTGTATCAGAGGGTAGCAGGAAGTGTGCACTTGCATTCTTGCACCTGGTTTGATGGTCATTACTTAGGTGGACTCCCCTCCCTCTAATAGCGACTATAAGGGATAATAAAGATTATCTTCGGGTCCTCTTATACTCCTACTTATTTCGCTATTACAGGGTGGGGGGTCCTCCTAAATCATCACAAAGCTGAACCCTAAACCCTAAACTATCGCCCTGAGCCCCACCATGCTCGACAAATATAGTCCCCTATTAGCTGGGTTAAGCCCTTTGAAAATCATTTACTATGATGCTTCTCTTCAAAATAATAGGGGGCATTGAAAAAGATCCCAAAGGGCAACCTAGTTGCGTAGAAAGAGTAAGGGTGCATATAGGGATCTTATTATGGTTTTGGACAAAGCCAAATGCTATCTACTGAAGTGGGACTATACTCCGCCAGGGGGCCATCCGCATCGTCCATTCCATCAACTCGGACTGCCCAAGATCGGTCGCTCTTGGAAACCTCCATGTCTTGGACCCTAAACCCAAACCCTGAACTCCGAAGAGCAGAACATGTTGAAGTGAAGTTGTGGACACCAACTGAAGCTGCTCCTAGGCAGCTGTGCAATAATTTCTTCATGCTGAACTTACGAACTGCCACAACTCCTAACATTCTTGAATATACACCAATATGCCCCCCCCTCCTATGTAAGATTTTTTGTGAATGGATTCTGCTGCCTTCCTGAATCACTAAGCTGAACAGCTTAGTGACCAATCCCTAATAGCAACACCCCCCAATGGAGCCTCCGTAATATGTATTAGGCGGACTATTTCCCTTCAGGGGAGGTAGGGAGTTTATAAGGGGATGGGATGAACGACCAACCCCAAACCCTAATCTGAACAGCATGATCTTTATATTATGGTATTATAGTACGGTGTATCATGGTACCCTAGAAGGGACATAGGGGTTTGAGGATTTAGGGTCTTTCGTGCCTCCAAGTGCTTCCGGTTGGCCACAAGCCTGCGGGGCATGCTGCTTGCATCCGGTGGGGTTGTACATCAAGAAGTTCTTATAGTATGTAGTAGTATATTATAGTATATTGAAATATGTTATACTCGACTGTAGTATAAAGACATGGTATATCATTTTTTGTAATATACTTTATTAGTATACTATACCATATTATAGTACCCAACCCCCAAAACAGGGTCCCCATGACTATCATATGGCTCTCGAAAAGTTCTCGTGGTAGGGGTTAGGGTTATCACAAACCTTTTGTTTTGCAGGACTGTGACTGAGACTGCCATCAGTTCGAACGCGTGCGCAAATCCAGCAAGTCACCCAAGCGGCTCCAAACATATCATCTGCAGCAGGGGGTGTTTTTTCAAACCCCCATGCAATCCATACCCTAACTGGGTTGCTGCTAAGGAACTTAAAATTAGTTACCACAATGGGTATATATAGTAGCTTCTAGTAAAGTTCCTTAACAGCAACCCAGTCAAGGTATCTTCACGCTCAGAAATTCCCTTATCCCAAAAAATTCCGTACATCTGAGACGCCCATCCTCCCGCACCTGACTGGTGCTTGAGAGCGAGTGGAGGGGGGAATCTAGGCACTCTTGCTGTGGTATACATGAACATTATGTAGGGAATCTGACAAGGGCCTATATGGAATGACGTAGGGAATCTTATAGGGTTCCATCTGAGGATGATGAAGGGAGCATTGTGGGGTTTAAGGCTTAGGGCTAAGGGATTCACCCTCCCACGCCCCCCAACCCTAAAATATCAGCAAGATCCTAAAAAGGCCAGGAGCCGCTGTACGTTGCGCTTCAGGTTGACTTCGCCGTGGAGCTGGATCCTTGGCTTCAGGGCTTACAGTCCCCCTTAAGTAGATAGAATATAGGGTTTAGGGTTTAGGGATATAGTCCCCCTTAAGTAGATAGAATATGGGGTATATGGGGATCTTATTATACTATACACAAAGCCATATTCTATCTACTTAAGGGGCACCGTAGGCGTCAGGATTTCGGGACTGGGAGAAACGGTGGTTTAGGATTCAGGGCTCCTGTCTTGTGATGGATGGTAATCGCAGTCTGAGTGGCACACTAAAGTTCCCCGACATTCTTTAACGAATAGTGCTTAGATATCCTAACGTGCTTCAAAGTAGAAAAGGGCAAGAATCACAAGTAGTAATGGATAAGAGCGACAGCAACAGTAGTGCAGCAGTAGTCAGACTAAGAAGTGCCACATAGCAGTCAGCACAGCAGTCAGCAATCAGAGGATAGTAAATAATAAGCAGTATGCAGTGGTTTGTGACTGTTACCTCAGTATCACTGATCAAGAATACTAATCGCCATCATAAGCCTGGTAATCATACGGGTATATAGTAATACTAATAATAGGGAAAGGAAGACTATTGTCAGGGGCCACCTGCCGTGCATCAGGTAGCTTTCAGGGCAATGCTCCCTTTGGGCACAGGATGTGTCGATGACAAGAGGCTTTGGGTCCTAGATGTTCTAGCCACCCGCCTTGCGCGCTTCATTACCTAGCAGCACAAGGGTAGTCGCACTGGAGCCTTGGCTGATTGTCCCAACCACTGCGCATGTAGGTTGCGGAGTTTGGGTTCTATCTAGCACATACACGCACACCGAAAAAAATGGCTGGCCCTGTCAGGATGTCACATTGTATTGAGCAGGCACTTGCCGCAGCCAAGGATCTCTTTGTAGATGTTGACATTGTTGGAGTTCCCGATGATGGGACAGTCTGCATGGACAGTACCATCTGGCATCCCTGGCCATTGTACGAAAGGCTTGCCCTTGAAGGTAGGTGCGGGATGCTTGAACTCCGGGCCGAAGTGGAACTGCGCGCGACCCTTGAAAGAAATCGCGGGATAGAGCATGGAGCCCTTTGGGAGAAGGTTGGGCCCAAAGCTGGGACTGTCCTCCTGATCCCACTCCTGGGCTTTTGTGTCAACTGAAGCTGTAAGGAACACTCTCTCCTTGTTTAGGGGCTTTATATCATCTACATGTTACACTGGGACCACTTGGAGCAGACCAGATTCTCCATCGCTGGCGAACCAGATCTTGCCGGCGTCAATGTCCACTGCAAGACCGACCACCACGTTCTGAGCCAGCTCACGTCCCGAGGATTTCCAAGACCTGTTCCGGCGCCCATGGCCCAAGCGCTTCTGGAAAATTGTGAGCCCTTTATGGTGTCCACTGGAACTGTTGAGGGCTTCAGTCTGTAGAGATTGGGGGCAGCATGTAAATTAAAGTGTACAACTCAGGTCTTCTCAAATGTATGCAGTGGTTTGAGTGTTCCAGGTACACTTAAACAGTTGGGAATTTCTGGCTTAGGCTTTCTCACAGCTCCATGTTAAAAAAGACTCCTTATTCTTTCAGTGCAAGAGGCTATGGGTTTAGAGTCTAGGCTGTCCTCACTATATTCGGAAAGCACAGGGGAACTCCAACAGGCATATCATAGTGTAGCTTTAAAAGGAGTTTGGGAGGACAATATTGGCGATAAGTCAGGCTTTTACATTGAAAACGTCACATAAATACATCGCTGTACAATCCCAGCTTCATGTTTCATTGTCCATTCTCTTTTCCATTTGATTCGCCACCAAATTACTCGTAATTATTCAGGCTCCTACCGCATACCACCCTAAACCCTACAATATCTCTATCTCTACAACCCCCTTTTAAGATGACCGGAACGCAAGTTTGGCAATTTCCCACCTGCTCCAAGCCAACTTATTTCCGCCATGCCACAGGATGGAATGCCTCAATGCAAGTATGAGTATGGTATATCATAATATATATATTTATATATTATAGTACATATGGGGGAATTATAGGGTATACATTGGGGGTATACGGGGATAATGGAAAAGAAAATGAAAACTGCTATTTAGGGTTTAGGGTTTAAGGGATTTAGGGGGGGAGTTCTCCAAATTGGGGGTTCTTAGGGACCGTTCTCGTGCATGGACACACATATATAAGCATATGTACACATGCGCATACGCGTGTAGATATGTATGTCGGCGTTTAAAGCACGTTAGACAATATGTCGCCAAACATCCGGAACTGAGTAGGTAAGTGTAAGCCCTTTGAAGCAACCGGCTTCGACTGCCCCATCAAGGTCATGAACAGGCAAACACAGAATTGCATGCCACAAGGTTGTCAACGTCAGATTACCTTGTTAACCTGTTAGCCAGAAAACCACCTGGACGAGTGATGGGGAGCCAGAAAAATGTAGCGGAGGCTTTCGGGCCACTGCCACGCCCCTGGTGGGTAGGGTACATTCCGAAAAGCTAACATGGAAGCCAGAAAGAAACTCTAATTACAAGGACTACCGGCTACCGAGTTTGGGAACGGGATCTAGGTCATCTACGTGGGCTTCCATGCTAGTTTGGGGAAGGCACGTGAAGTGGTGCAGGATTTCAGCCCCCAAAGCCCAAGACCCTCAACCCCAAACCCTAGAAGGTCACAGGCAGGAAGCTGCCCATCCACGCCCCAACCATGCTGGTCGTCGCCCACGCCATACAGGTGCCTAAGACATGCAATCGGGCATCATTCTCTTTACTACACTCTGGAGGCTTTGAGATTTCAGCTTAGAACCTTGGAATTGCTTAGGTCAGTAATAGCCCTTAAATATGGAGTCCATAATTCCTCAGTAGACCTACAATAGTCTCTCGTGGTAATCAGTACTGGGTTGGGGGAATTGACTCAAGGGATTACATGGGGAGTTCTGGCTTTAAGAATAAGCCATCCTTTGCCTCTTGGTGCTACTGAGAGGATTTGCAAAAGGGGTTAGTGTGGGGATCCGATCCTTCCTGTCCTGCTAAAACTGGAACGCCCAGCAACCCACCTATTGAGTATGGGGTGGTCTTATGCGGAGCGAGAATCCCCAAAACGCGGAGAAGGGCTTCACTGGAGATTCAGCCTACGCCCTTCCAACTCTAAGAACCAAAATCCTAAACTCCCTCAAGCCACAGAAAATTCGAAATCCTAACCTCTAAAAACACTGACAACCTAAAAGCTCGAAACCCTCTCAGCCCCACAAACCCATAAACCCCTAAATGCCTGAAGCTCTTATCCCTTAGACCCTTAGCCCCTACAGTCTACCCAACTCTGCGCAAGGTGCTGACCCTTCGTGCGCGGGGCAAGTTCGAAGCGGCTGCTTAATAGGCCAACCTGACAAGACTTCTCAAAAGGGTGTTCATGCTATTGGGTATATAGTCCCCCTGAAGTAGATAGAATACATATGGCTTTGGGTAAAGTATGATAAGACCAATAAGAACCCCATATACCCCATATTCTATCTACTTAAGGGGGACTATATCCGTATACCGGAAAAAATAAGGTGTATGTGGGGGGTGTGTGTGAGGTTTATTAGGTTTATGTCGGGCTTAAAGGGTTTACGTTGGGTACTACCCCGCTGTAACCAGTCACGTGTAGGATCCATATAGCACGGCTAAAGCCACACCATTGCCCCCCGCCCAGTGGCAGTCATGAATTAGGGCAATATTAGTAAAGCTCCAACAACTACAGTATGCAGTGCCTGCAAACTAGAGACAGAGTCGGAGCTATATTGGAGTATACATAAAAAAGGCTGAAAAGCGAATCCTGTTGGCAGTTTTATGGTTTTATGAGCTTCTACACTAGCCCCAGGTCCTTTTACTTGTACAAGGATAGAAGGGATGTATGGTCACGCGCTGTTCCTTCTGCACTGCCTCCTGCCCCAATGCTGTAAACCCAAACCCTAAGCCCGCCCAACTGGCCCTCACCACACAATCACACCGCTTCTCGTTCCTTCCTGGTAAAACCCCTGTACAATCGCTATAATTCCTTAGCAGAAGGGACTGCCCTAGAGCCTGTGTTTTGCAGCATAGCTGGCATAGCCATTTTTAGAGGCTTTAGGAGATGTGGGAGAAAGTAGGATCTTCAGGCCTTGAGAAAAAAGGTATGCACTTGAGGTAGCTCTCTCATCTAGTCACTCATGATTACTTTTCTAAACTTTCTTGTAGCTTACATGAAAACTTTTTAATACTTCATTGTACCAGTCACTCATGATTACTCATTTAAAATTTCTTGTAGCCTACATATGAAAACTTTTTCATACTTCATTGTACCTCTTCTTGGTTTCATCTTCGCACTCACAGCAGGGGTGGTGAAGTGCAGTTTAGGGTGTGGGTTTTTTCAATCTGTCTATTCCATTCTCCCTAGTAATAAGCCCCTTTCCCAACAACAAATATTTCCCCAAGCTGCGATGGTATTCTATTGGGGTGGGTTCAGGATTAGGCGGGTGGGTGGGGGGTCCTTGCCCTAAGCCCTGAAATCCTAAACCCTAAATTTCTGAAACCCTAAATTTCTGAAACCCTAAACCCCATACCCCTAAACCCTAAATCCCTGAAACCCTCAACGTAGTCTCGAGTCGCAGCGGCCTGGGGGGACTGGCATCCGCGGATGAGCTCCACCTCCACATAGTATCTTCCTTTCCTTGGTTTGGGTTAAGGGTTCGGGGTCTAGGGTTTAGGGTTAATGGATTTGGCGTTGTTTGTTTTTTCCTTTGTTGTTGTTGTGGGGGGGGGGGGTTTAGGAATTTGGGGTTCATCTTCCTTTCCTAGGTTTGCCCGACATTGTTTAGGGTTTGGGGCTTGAGGCCCAATACGGCTAGTGGTGCGAAAGCTCCTCCTGGAGACCTTGCAACCCTCCAGCCCTGTGGTCTCTAAGATAGGGTTAAGGACTTTATAGGATTTTGAGGATTTGTGCTTTAGGGTTTTGGGGTTTTCAGGATTTAGTGTTTTAGGGTTTAGTGTTATGATTCATATGATTCATCCCTTAACTTACTGGTTCTTAGTAGGGAAGAGGGGAATATGTTTCACGGATGGGGCTCATTAAGTGATTATATTCCCTAATTCCCTACGAAGAACCAGTAAGAATAACAACCCCCTCAACAATAAATCTGCCAATATAGTAGCACATTCGGGGAGATATGTGTTCTCAGGGCGTTACTTGTAGACTAACGCGGTGCTTCACGGAATCCCGCAGTCATGGGTGCACCCTCCTATGCTACCGAGAGCGTTTTGGGGGAGCTTTGGTAGGGAAGCCTATGCAACAGAACGCCCAGCCCCTCGAAAACACTAGACACTATAGTCACCTTTAAGTAGATAGAATATGGGGTATATGGGGATCTTATCATAGTATACCCAAAGCCATATTCTATGTACTTAAGGGGGGCTATAAACCCTAAAGCCTTCCGATCTCCTATTAGCCCCCTACCCCTGAACCGGAATCGCTTTTGAACCCAGCTTCTTCTGGGGTAGATCTGGGAAGCCCATGGTAACCCAGTCGTTGGTGGTATCGGCGGTGAGGCCACGCAACAACTGCCTGGCTTCCGCATTCAGCCAGCTTTGAACCCAGGCTTGAACCCTCAAGCCTCAACCCCATGTAGTCATAGTACGAAACCATTAATTAGTGTTCGCTGTAGATCCATCCTCTAGACATCATGCATCAGCTTGTCAGAATTTCGGCGCTATTTTGGGCCCCTATACGACTACAGCCCCTAAAACTACGGGTAGCCACGAAGTCGCGAAGAACCACACTGTTGACAACCCACCATGTAGAGTGTACTTTAGCCTTCGGACGTACTACTCTTTTGGCACTCCCAGCTCCATTCACAGCCAAACCCTAGAAAAGGACATGCACCAAAAAGAAGCTAGATTGCAGTAGCCAGGTAGGTCCTTCTTTTTCCAAGCCCAACTAGCAGAATGAGAAGATGGTAAGTCAGCACACCTATGCAACCCATGTTATTTGTAGCTAGGGGGGGTTCCCTACATTAGGGGTCCCTTTAAAGACGATTCTTGGGGCTAGATGAGGGTATAAAGGGATACATGGGATTTAGGGTTTAGCGACAACAAGAAGCGCAAAGCCTAAATAACCACCACCCAGCTGCGGCTGAATTCGGGGCACATCCTCCAAAGATGTGTTCGCCATGGCCACCTGGTTCCCCAATTTAGGGGTCCCATTAAAAGGTTATGTAGGGGTTGAAGAGGCAGGGGGTTTAATCCGCTCGTAGAATATAAACCCACTCATATCAAACACTGTCATACTTGTTCGCGGGTCGGGGAGGGGGTCATTTGAGGCGGAGGGGGCTTATGTCAATGATGGAGTACTATCCAACGGGGTGAAGAAAAAGCGTGTGTGCGTCTGCATGCTTCTGCCCAACTCCCAGAATGTACCTTCAAGATGTGTCTTCAGCCTTCCCACAGGCACCTTGCCTGCATACAACATATACTTACAGACCTACACACATACACACATACATACATACATACATACATACATACATACATACATACACCAAAACATACATGGTACCAACTTACATACCTAACGACTACATGCACGCATGCATGCATGCATGCATGCATGCATGCATGCATGCATGGATACACCCTGCAGCATACACGCACATGAACCTGTATCAAAGCATGTTCTTTGGTGTATGCATCGCATGTGTTGGCGGAACAACATCAGTGTCTATCAGACCGTGTCTGCCTAACCATAGAGTTTACAGCTTAGGTCCGCATCATAAGCACGACTCATTCAAAAGCAAAATTCGATACGGGGCACGTCTTCGCGCATGTGCTGTCCCTCAACCCTAAACCCAAGCCCTCCAAAAATGAGAAAACACGGAAACATGCCCCAACCTCAATCAGTCGATGGAGCTCGTTATCGTTGTACCTCAGGTGTTCTTGGCATTCTCTATGAACAGCTAGGCCCTCTCTCGAAGGGCTCAGGTCATGTTTTCCGTTCAAGCCAGCTCAGAATTAGCACATAACTGCTCAAAGTGCCCAGGGACTCCTTCAAGACGTGTGCATACCTGGGTTGTCCTTTAAGCCCTCTGAAAATTATATACTATTATGGTTCTCCACAAATTACTAGGGGAAATTACCAAAGATCCCACAGGACAACCCAGAAACTTGTCCAGCACCGCAAGCCTGGAGCCAGCTATGCCGCCCGAATCCGTGGCGGCGAAGGTAGCGCGCAGGCGGACGTCTTTCAGGACAAGGTAGGAATCTCCGTACTGGTAGGCCGAAGTGATACCCCGATAGTCGTTCATCACCTGTTAAGGAATTTAAACTAAGTTACCATAATGGATCATAATGGGTATATATATATAGAGTAAATCATAGGGTTTCCCCAATATAGTAACTTAAACTGATTTACTTAGTATAGTAAATCATAAGGTTTCCCCAATATAGTAACTTAAACTACTTTCCTTAATAGCAACCCAGTCACCCCCAGGGCTCCGTACTTGCAGCGTTCGAAGGGCTTGGCTTCATCGTAGGCACCGCCGAAAAGCTCGGTTTCCCAGTCTTTGCGAATCTGGTTCTTGTCGTCCAGAGCGCCGCAGGACGTGCCAGTCTCCTGGGTGGATGTTCAGGGAACTTGGGTTATATTGGGATAATGGAAAAGAAAATGGAAACTACTATAGTATATTGGGGTTATATAGGGTTTAGGGTCTAGTCTTAATAAGCTTAAGGTTTATAGGGTTTAGGGCTAAGTCATCATCATGGAAACGGTACGCTTGATGGACAATTATATGGAAACTGGGAATATGTAGGGGTCCGAGGGACTGCAAGAAGGTTACGAAGAGGTAACTTAGCTCAAATCCTTTAACAGCGACCGGGTCTCGAATTGGCTGCGGTAGTACTCATCAGTCTCCAGGAACCGCCCAACAGTACCGATGTGGATGTGGACGCACATAGGCGCCAAATCCTTGCTGCTGGTGTGGGGAAGGAAGGAACGTAAATCATAGTTCAAACCACTATATGACCCACTCCGTACGAACAACCAGCAAGCCAAGTCAAAACCTACATGTCCCTGTGGATTCCCGCTTCATGTTCTATTTGATTTTCCACAATTTCATTCCAGGAATCCTGGATCCAGCCCAGAACGCTCTGCAGTTCGGCTTCAGTGTAGCCCAGCCTGCAAAACAGCCCAACATTGCCCCGGGAACCAGAAAACAGGAATGCAAACCTTAGCCCTAATCTACGTGGGGAGGGAATGGATACTCATAACAATCCCTATTGATCCCCTGATTCCCTAGTAAGCACCAGGGAGACAACCAACCCCAAGCTCATAGGTCCAACTCTACTTGCATGGGACTTAAATTCACCCGAGCCAAAAGGGCGTTTCCAACAAATCAAAATTGGGGGGGTGCCTTTGGAATCCCTAGGCCCTAGGGTTATGATGAAGAGATGCGGTGTCAGAGAAGGGAACCCCAATTTCTGGGAACGCCCTGTTGCAGCCTACAGCCTGTCATTCAGCTGACTACTTGCAAGGCCCACATTATTCCAAATATCCTTTTGAGGTCTATTTGAGGTGCTCCATACCCTAATGATACCAGGATACCAGGACCATAATATTGGTCATGAGTACCGTGCGCACATTACCCTATATACTTCCTATAAACATTGGGCACTGCCCCCCTCAGTAACGGTTGGATGAGTATTAGAATATGGTTCTATATATCCCTTAATAGGACCCCTGATATAGACTGTTACTGGGTGGGGGCAGCACCCAACCTATGTACTTCCTATAGACCCCCTTTACTGCGCCCTACTTGCAGGTCCAGCTGCCTCGCAAAGCGGTCTCGCACGTCTGGCAGCGCCTTTTCCTTTATGTCTTTACGTGGGGGTTCTCAGGTAACCCGAAACCCTTCCCTAAACCCTAAACCTTTACATCCCTAAACCCTGAACCCTTACACCCCTAAACCCTAAACCCTTACACCCCTAAACCCTAAACCCTTACACCCCTAAACCCTAAACCTTTACACCCCTAAACCCTTCAACCCTAAACAGGGGTTCCGGCCCTGGGGTTCAACTCTTTTTAAGGCACGGACTGGGGTAGGCTGCCGGCACTGAAGCTTCAACCAAGGGATCAAGTCTAACTAGATCCCGAGACAATCTCGTAGGTTAAGCGTTCTCTTCCATTCCTGACTAAGCCCCAATGCCCAATTATCTAACGAACCTACATCCAACAAGACCCCAAATGGGGGTTTCCAACAATCAGGGGCCCCTGATTTGGGAGTCGATGCTCATGAGTGTAGCTAACTCTGCTGATGCATGACCCTGGTAACAAAACCACTCCGGCTTTTGGGAGTGCATGTAACAAAGAATGGAGCATGTTGGAACCCATGTTAACTCCTCTTGAAGGTGCTACAAATTGAAAGAACCGAGTCACGTGGTTCAGCGCCGCATTGGCTCTCACATTTGCCAGGGCCGCGCGCCTTGCGATCCCATGTATGCATGTATATGTGAGGGTCTATGGCTTAGGGATAAGAAGAAAGAGAAGCAGGACCCTGAGTGAAATTACTCTCGCTACCAATACCATTCTTATGTACATCACCTCCCTGCGCTATGAAGATACAGCTCTACACCATAAAGTCCTTTTTAACCCCTACAAGACATTTAGCCTGATCCCATGTTGGCCTGTGCCTCAGGTATTATGATCCCAGGCATAATCAGGGTTGTCGTGTCTCCATCCTTGCCGGTGAAGTCATGGATGGCTGCCATACTTTCAAGCTCCCTAAACAGTTCAACTCAGAGCCCCGAAGCTCTCACCCATAAAACCCTAAACTACTGTTGATACAAAAAAAAACCTGCATGACCCTAGTATACTACAGTACCATAATTCCCAAGGTATAAGGTACCTAGGGTCATGCAGGATTTTTAGTATCCACCGTAGTGTGGGTCGCGTGAAGCCTTGCACAAGTCCAACACAACTCCCTGGAAATGTGTTCCAGCTCCTATTCAAACTACACCATCCCTGTGGACAGGGGCGGGCACTTGCAGGGTCAGGGGCCTCAGTAAATTGCTCAATGAAGCGGGAAGGGACCTAGTTTGAGACTTAGAACAATAAACAAGCCTAAGGATACTTACTGATTCCCTCAACCGCCCAAGTAATACAGCAATCCCATCCCCCTAATAAATAACAAGCCTCCCTACCCCCCAAAAATGAAAATTACACCCATATACATATATATCTATATATATATATGTACGTGTGTGTATACATGTATAGCGACTGCTGCCGGGAAACTGGCACGATGTCAGGCGCTGCACTGCGCGCATCTCCGACTCGGGGAAAATGGACGCCCAAAAGCCCTGCTGCTCCTGGCGCACACAGTTGGGGACTTGGTAGGGTTTAGGGTGTTAGGGTTTTTAAGGTTTTTAGGGTTTTAAGGTCTTTAGGGTTTTAGGGTTGAGGGTTTAGGGCGTCACTATTAAATCTTCTTGCTGTTATAGGGATGTTGATACTGTACTGTTCGGTATCCATTACATGCAACAAACATCGAGCAAGTACGAGTAGAGTTAAAGTACTACTGAACTATTGGAAATGAGTCGTCTGTCAGCCGCCCTGCGCACGAAACGTATCTGTCGGTATTGCGCGATGAACAACAGAGCGCACAGTCTATGCGGGGAGAGTCAAGGCAAAGGTAGTGCCTAAACAAGTCAAGACAAAGCCTGCGTCCCACCACCGAATAAGAGCAATAATAATCGTAACAGTAATAATAGTAACAATATAATAGTCATAGCCATAGTCATAGTAATAATACTAGTAATAATATGTAACAATAATGCAAAAGCAAATGAAAACTACTATGCCTCGCGCCTCGAGGATACCAACTTCGCGCAGAGCTGCGACTACGTCACCTTGTCGCTATTTCTCATGAATCGGAGCCCCCAGGTTTTTCTTGCGGCTCATGGAAAGTGCAGCATGTGTTGGGGTGCCTGAATGCATGAAGTCAGGGCAGCCAAGAGGCTGTCACGTGTGTCACTGAAGATCCAGTTTGGCGGAACCACCTTCACAAGTTGCTGGTGTGGACGGGGAGGGCTCCAGAAATAAGAGCTCCCCTTGTTGGCAGGCACTTCAGCAGGACCTCCGATTGCTCCAAAAACCTCATGGAGTCAGACCCTAAAACCTAAGCCTGCCGTAGCTTGTAGGGGCTGCATGGCGTAAAATGCCGTGCGAACGGCCTGCCGTTCTTGGCGTGCATCTGGGCCTTCTCCAAATCCAAATACGAGCCTCATTGCCGGCATGACAAGGGTTTCGGTTTCGCTTAGAAAGGCATCTCCGAATGATAGGTCTTCGTCGGGGACTCTAAGCGATGAACCGAGAAATTGCAGCCACTGGCAATCATCCCTAACATGAAACGATACTTTTGTCCCTCGATGTGTCCTAAAACCTAGAACCCTAAAACCCCTACAACCCCAAACTTTCCTGGGCACCAACATGCTGACAAACCAGCTGCTCTCATGACAGGCATAATGGCATCCGAGCCACCTGACCTTGGAAAGCAGACTGGAAATGGCTTGTTGGGTGTCAGTAGGGAATGAGGATTTAAGGGATAAGAGTTTAGGGTTTAGGGTCTGAGGCTTAGTGGGGAATAAGGGAATAAATTGGGGTTATATAACTCTATAGAGATAACGGAAAAAGGTAACGACTTTATTACAATTTGGAAAATTTTGTCTTATGGGAGAGAATAAGGGAATATATTATCAGGATTACATTCCCGTTTTCACTACTACTCCCCTTTTGCAACAGGCTTGCAGAGATCCTCGCCTGGAAGGCCTCACCGAGCTCCGCTCAAGTTAGGCTCAGAACTGAAGTGACAGAAGGTGACTCCCCAAACCCTAAACCCTGAACCGTAAACCACCAGTAAGATAATCTGTGGTAAGCTTACGATTGGATGATCAAGGGTATCACTGCGCGAGGCCTTCCCAAAGGGACCATCGCGGGTTAGGGTTCAGGGGTTTAGGGTTGAGGGGCTTAGGCCTTAGGAGTTTAGGGGATAAAGGGTTAGGGGTTTAGGATTTAGGGATTAAAGGGTTAGGGGTTCAGCGCTTAAAGGGTTTAGGGTTTTAGGGGTTAAGGGTTAGGGTTCAGGGGGTTAGGGTTTAGGCCAGTTTAGGCTTTGAAGGTTAAAGGGTTTAGGGGTTTAGGATTTAGGCTGACTGCCTGAAACGTAGGGCTTGAGGTGCCAAAAGCCAGATGTTGATCACTCACTTTCCGTTGATTGAACAGTGCACAAGACGCTGTCTGGCAGAACACGGGCTACGCCTTCGTGGCACAGTCCGATAACAAAGTCATACCAAAAGCCAGATCTTGAGCTGCTACACATGCAGTACGAGGCGTTGATGACCCTAAACCTCAAGTCCATATAAGCTTACCATTGCTGAGGGTACCCAAATTTCCTCACTTTTAAATTTCAAATGTTTAAAACACAACATCCGCCCCCAAACCCTAAGTAATGGCGATAACCCCCCCCCATCCACATTCTACAATTACAGCTACCTACGGAACTGTAGCATAAGAGCTACAGTCAGCATTACCCAGATAATTCATGGACATGGGTTCCTATCAGGGGATGCTTTGCTGCTACAATAATCCAGGACAGTTCCAGGTGGGTAGTTAC